CCACACACACACACACACACACACACACACACACACACACACACCAATATTTGAACTAGCTATGACACACTGCTTGAGAAGCAGTTAGTTACACACCCGCATCTCCGCTGACAGAGTGTTCATCAATATTGACTCTCTCATCTGGATCCAATTCCATTAATTCACCCCGGCGTTTCTGCATTTCACACAATCTTTCAAACAGTTTGACATCAAAAAGAGAGGCACCTGAAAAAAGGTAGCAAATCAGGTAATAACAAAAGATTAACCTTTATACTAAGGTTAGACTAACTTGTTAGACCATTATTGGTTTCGTTTGCTTGCGTACAGAGAAGCCCACCCATACAATAATGACCAATGACCGGTCATCCAGAGCAGGGAAAAGTAAACAGACCAGGGGAAAGAAAATAAAAAGGAGCTACTGGTGGCGTCATCCAACCACCCACTGTCAGACCAAGCAAAATGGCAGTCCAACATGATATTGATACAACAAAGATTGTACAATGGTTATACATACATCAGGGCGGCTCGTGGGTCTAAAAAGGGGGCGTGCACAGATAAGCTATCTTAGGCTGGAGATAACCAAGGGCAGAGTAAATGGGATGGTGTATAATTTTAGGATCTTTGGGTTGGTGAAGGAAGAAATTGTGCTTTTATTTTCATTCTTTTTGCTTGTGGCTTTGAACTCTAGAACTAAATCTTTTTGTTAGCTAAACGTCAATTTAATTCATCCTGCATTAGAACTGAACACTCAAGTAATATCTTTCACCACTCCACTACAAAACCGTTCAAAAGCACAACTCATAGGACGGTGACTTAAGTATGCCACGTTCACCTCCCTCAGGTTCACGGTCACAGAGTCACTTAAAATGGCGACAAGACAATGAACCAATCACAATTCACTTGAGAACTCCGCTGAATTGCTCCGGGGCCCACATAATTTTGGCATGGAATAATGCACAGTCTATGGCGTTTATTTTTAGATTGCCTACTGTGGGCTATGTTTCGGCGCTATTCGGCAGGAGCACATTTGAGATGTGCCGTCTTATTTTTATTAATGTACCGCCAAAATCACTACATGATCATCATGATGTACAAGTGTCGTCATCGCTTGGGTTATCAAAAAGAGCGATTTATAGGTCAGGTTTCCACTGTTGACTGTCCTGTTATGTTCAGATACAGCGCATGAACGTAGGCATGGCATAGTACATGTAGATGTTTTACAGTGCTATAGAATAGAAATGACAGTTACGGCGCCACCGAGGACCTTGTTTTGATATAATATTTGGCTAGTGTTTGTTTATGGCTTCTTTTATTTTATTATTGTGGGTCCTTTATGTCATATAAAACATTAAAACATTTTGAGCGGCACTGCACGACCGTGCTCAATGGACGAACCGCGCCTGCATACATGTATTTTGCCCGGCTAGAAAACAGCACATTAGACTTTTGTGGACTCATTTTCCTGGACTTTAGTCACCACTCACCAGCTCAAGTTTTCTAGAGTTCGGACGAAAACAAGGAGAAAGGAAAATGAGTGAAAAAGTAAGATGTTCGTACCTTCATCTCTGAGATCCTTTGCAGCATACAGGGCATAGTGTTTTTGGAAACCCATCTCAGTGACTGCCTGGACAGCGACATCCCGTTCCAAAGGGTCTTCCCTCGCCACTGAAATGTAAGCTTACCATTAAGTTTGATCGAGACATATTTTGTTGACGATGTTTGTTATAAACTTACCTTTTCATGGTTTCTGGGAAATGTTTCAATACGCACAAAAACAAAACAAAACAAAACAAAAAACATTTGATTTAAATGCACATAAGAGAGAAGGCACAAAATTTAACCCCAGAGCGCTCTAATATTACACATTCATGGAATATAGTGCCAGCTGAGCCCGGATTTTCTTTTATTGAGAACCAGCAGATCGACCTTGATAGCGGTTAAAAAACAAAAGTGAACCATTTCCTCCAATTGCACCGTCAATATGGTGACATTCGTGCGCTGCTAAAGAAGATGATAAACCCAGTATTTAAGTTCAAACAAACTCGTTATACTAACAGCAACAATAAATTTAACATTATTCCAACAATATTTTTCACAATAAAAATCCTGCTAACCGATCTTGTGGACATTACACAACTAAATGATTACGAAAAGAGGGTTCCTTTAATTCTAAATTATCCCTTTGTGATGGGGCAGAGAACAAAAACAAGCATAAACAGGAAGAGAGAAGCATAATTCTTCTTACCAGCACTCGCCTCAATGCGTTCGCCAGGAGACTGAGCGACCACGTCACTTTGACTTTGAGGGGGAACTAGGTCTGTCCAAGATGTGCTTGCTGTTTGAGTGGGCCCCGGAAACCGATCTGGAGCCTGGGCCTCTGTGTTTTGATATTGGCCATGGCTGTCACACACAATGACATGACGCCGCTTAGATTCTGGGAGACCCACTTCTATGGAAACTTCAAATTCTATTTCCTCTGTATTTCCAGAACCTTTTGGTGATTCACTACTAACGGACTTATCATTTTGGCTCAATAGTTTGGCTATCAAGTAATGCCAATTCTGCGGCACAGGTATGGGGGCATTGTGGCAGTCAACAAGAGTGATCATTGGGCAATTTGGAGATAACCTGGTATGAACATTATGTATATTATCTGTGGCCAACCACCCCGAGTAATTCACAGCGCAGAAATAACATAGCACAGAGTCATCTGATGTAGTGCCGGTGCCAACGTACACAAAACCATCTTTCGCCAAGAGAATAGCCGATTTATGAGCGCCCGAAGGATACTTGCAAAACGTTTGAAGCCTCAATTTTTCCGAAGACAGACTTCTCCACGGTATATCTCTGCTATTCGTTGAGGGGACATTAAGTGTCTGATGATCACCCACGGCATCATGCTCCTGCACGTTTAATTCAGATAGTGTACCAACGTTATGGTATCGTTTTGTACCTTTCTGTTCTCTTTTTGGTTTGCCAGATATAGCCTTCAAGAGTCTTTGAATACTCTGTAAACATTGCTTATCCATAATGGACCACAAAGAGGTAGAATTTTTTACCCCGAAGGCCTGAAAAGAAGACAGTGAGTTAGTTGCAGAAGCCGGTTATCCTGACTTTTTAATCTAGTTGTAAAGTTCTCTATTTTGTCTCCAGTTGGTGGTGGTTCGAGGGCCCCCACTTGTAGGTATTCAACCGTTTCAGTTTTTCTCGCCGTTCAACTTTGTCTGATTCATCAACAGAAACACTTTTTCGAATGAGAGTCCAGGCAGAAGACTGAGATCTACAGTTCATGTGCTGATGCATCTCTTTCCAAGCTCCAAAGTGTAAGATATTAAAACACCCTTTGCCGTTCACAGAAGCCTGGATAACCTAGGGTATCGTGAAAAAAAAGAAGAAAAAAAAGACTGAGATATAGGAGAGCATATGTCGCGGCTTTAAAATACAGTGTAACAAAATGTTTCATTATCTCAGTTAAAATTGCTTTTGAGATATGTACACTATAGGTCTCATATCCGCTTATCGTGTTGAACAATATTAGCATGGCTCTATCTTTTAGTTTTAGTAGAGGTTTTACGGCGCTCGCAACTGCATTAGGTCATATGGGCGCCAGAAGATTAGAGGTGTTACAAGAGAGTAACAAACATAAAAAGGAAGAAGGGGAGATAAGGACGATATATGTTTGATAGGAAAGAAGAAGCAAACCACACCAGAGCACCCGCCAACCAACCACATGGCTCTATCTAGGAAAATAAAGGAATAGCTATAAACATTAAAAACTAAACCTTAGAACCTTAGTAGGCCTACATGTATCTGGAGTCACAATGGAATAAAAAAAAAAAAGCAATTACCCCCCCCCCCTAAATCACAACAACAGCATAATGATGACTTGTGTATACAAATAGCCACGACTCTTAGCAAAAAGTCTGTAAAATATGGAATAGAAACATTTTGGCCAGTACAGCCTCTTGTAAAGGTCTTTTTATTTTCTTTGGTAAGATTTGTTTGTTTTGTTTGTTTGTTTAGTATAGGGTTTTACGGCGCTCGCAACTGCATAAGGTCATATGAGCGCGCGGGACACACCTAATACTTTTTCGCTGGTAGGAAATTTTGAATTTTGCCCGGGTGGCGGCCGAAGCCTACTCTTATCGATTTTAGACCACCAAGGGATCTTTAACGTGCGCAACTTGCACACGGGCCCTCCGAGATTTTTCGCCCTTGTCCGAGAAGGCTAGGTGTAGATCTTTCCTACCAGAAGATCAGGGGTGTGGCAGAAAGACAGCAGTTAGGAGGAGCCAAGGAGTAGCAGTAGAAAGGCTGCAGAAAGAGTCAGGAGCCCAGAGGAGGGGGCAAAGGAGGTGAGGGGGTGGGGGGGCAGAAAGAAGAAATGAAAGCAGACCACAGAACATTGTTAGAGATCAGGAAAGTATGTGAAAGGAGACAATTTTAGAGAAGAAAAATTTTTATGTCGCTACCCGGAATCGAACCCGGGACCTTTGAATGAGAGGCCAACACCTTAACCTCTAGGCCACGAGAGCCCCCTAAGATTTGTATGGCAACTACACAAGGTTATAATGTGAGTGTGCGGGACACATATGTTGCTTGTTTCAACATTAATCGTTTTCAGTTTTGGCAGGAATTAATTCTGAATTTTGTGCGGGTGGTGGACCAAGCCTACTCTATAAATTGATTTTAGGACACCAAGGGATCTTTAGCGTGCGCAACGTGCACTCGTGACCTCCGAGATTTTTTCACCATTATCTGAGAAATCAAGGTGTTCGATCTTACGTACCCTAAGATCAGGTGTGTGGCTAAAAGACAGAAGTATGAAGGAGCCGGCGGTAGCAGTAAACAGAGTCAGGAGCCCAGTAGAGGGAGGGGTGGAGTGGGGTGGGGTGGGAGGGGGGTAGGGGAATACAGAAAGTGGAGATGAAAGCAGATGATGGAACATGACTTTTAAACGAGCACGAAAAAAAATTAGAGAGTACATTTTTTCGTCACTGTCAGGTTTGGAACCCTGGACCTATTAAATGAGAGGCGAACACTGTATAATCCAGACCACGAGAGCCCCCCGCCAGTAAAGATGTATATGTACTTCACCCCACCATACGAAACTTGACCTAGAACTTTAAAAAAATATAAATTTGTTCAGATCCTAAACCCAAACCCAAGAACAAATTAAATCCCGTATATTTAATTATATAGTGCCTATTTATTATTTTTTTTCAACGGCGACGACGCGCTTTTCCCTTTCGTCAACCCGCAGCCACCCCGAATCGTCAGCCACCCCCAACCTTTGACACGGGTCAAACTTCCATCTATTTATAGGTAGTTACCGGAACGTGTATAGGTGAAGTGATGTGCCGTGATAGTCGCGATATATTATTTATTGAGATTGTTTTGGTCTCTCTTTACTCATCACCACGAGAATTTCTTGAAGTT